AGACTAAGTTAGCAAGCCCACATTTTTTAACATAATTATAAGTAATTATCCATTCATTCAACCTATGTGGCAACATCTCGGAGTATAAAATAAGAAACCTCTGCTCTTGTAGAGTATATAAGCCTATTACATAGACAGACACTGAACAAATAAACATAAGTCCCTATGGCAGAGCTCAATCTAGGGTCAATAGAAGTGGCAGGGTGATTATGACTGAAGCACTATCTTAAGTTAAAAAACAGGGACATGGTATGGCTGAGGGGAATAGTCCAAGCAGCATATACAAAGATCCTAAAGCAAAGGTACAGTGAATTAGATAAACTGAAAGGAACCCAGTTTTAAAACCACAGAAAGAAAAATGAAAATTACAATATGGTGGTGATTTTACTGATCATAGGGCAAGAATCAAAGTAGAGAAGGCAAGAAAGACATGAGTGACTACAAAAGACTACCTTAGGTGCTGAACCATTGTCTATGGTGGGTAAGAGAGAATGAAGGGCTGGTATGATTTTTAAAAGATACATATTAAGCAAGTAGAGAATGAAAAGAAGACACAGAATAGGGGTGTAATCACAAAAAGTTGTTGAAGGCAAGGAACTGGGTATAGCTCAGTAAGTACAGTGCATACTTATTAGAATGCTTGAGGCCCTAGGTTCAAATTAAACTAGAACTACCATACCCACCCACCCACCCACCCTCAAAAAAAAAAAAGAGGTGGGAATTTTTAACATTTTTTTTTAACAATTTAAACCTATTCTTTAAAAATAAAAATAGAATTTAAAATGTCTTTACAAATTAAGCACTAAAAATTCAATACACACATAATCCTAAGAAATGTTATAGAAAAGACAAATTTCTATAATTATGTAATATGAAAACTTAATTTTGCCTTCAAGTATGATTTCTGCCAATATTTTAGTGAATGTATTCAAGAACACTATTTAGCCTTTAAATATTTTCTGATATTTCTTCAAAAACACAATATTAAGACAAAATTAATACTTTTTAACCATAAGTTCAATGTCTTATAAATTAATTACTTACAGGGACATTAAGTGCATACTGAAGTCCTTGAGGAAGTCTTTCATGTGCTTCCATCTGTTCTTCATCATTTTTCACTGTCTCCTCATGAACCATGAGTTCATCGTGTGATATCATATCCTGTTGTCTCATTTCACTTTCTTGTAACACTTCATC